TCGACAGCGGTTGAAGATCAGTGTCGTCAAGAAAAGAAGCTTATTATCGTTCTCACATGGTTGTCATTTGTAATTGTTAGGTTACCGTTAGTAGTATTGATAAATTGACTGTTTATTAGGGCACGAGTTGGCACCAGGGAATTTCGAAACGAAGTCTCCTTTGATTTTGAAGATTTCGTACAAAGTTCGCTTTGATCCTGTCCTTGAACGTAAAAACCCTTAAAAAACGAATCGCCGACTAAAGAAATCGTTGCATTTTCTGGTATTTTCGGACACAAAAACGATATCCCTTTGCTTTTTGTCCCAAAAACAACAACCAGCTTGACCGGTGCCAGCTGGGCCGACCCTGCTATTTATTTATTTATATGTGTTTCACGAATTTGACCAATTTGCCAACGACTTTGATTACTGGCTTTTTCCTTATTTACAGCTTTTAGCAATATTGCAGTCATGTGGCCATAATATATATCAGTCTATGTAACAGATAAAATGAGAGTTTATCACGCAACCACAATTGTCCTTGTTTTCTTCGAGTAGTGCAATTCCACTTCTACGACATTTTCTGTAGATGATTTTGTATCTGTAACTAAGGTGAGTGAATGAGTTAAACGCTATAAACATCGCTAAACTACCGAGAAATGTATTACACGTCAAAAAAGTGGGGTGTGAACAGATCTAGGTACTATGTAGCTTTCCGAAAAATTTTCCGAAAAAACGAAGCCTCCCTTGACCTTCGCTAAATTTTACAAAGTTCCCTTTGATCCTAAAATCCAAACCTAAGAACCTTCAAATAAAAAAACGAAACGTCGGCTGAGAAAAAACCGCAATTTTTGTGTCTTTTCAGCCTCAAAAACGAAACCCCCTTTGCTTTTTGTCTCAAAACTTTCAAATCACCTGTGCCGAACCTTAGGTGAAATTTTGCCAATACTACCCCTCTACCAAACTCGTTATTGGAGGAGACGCAGCCCCTATGACTCTTACCCAAATTCATTCGTCATAGTCCTAAGAATTGCATTGCCAGATTATAGCGCAGAAACTGGCACTAAGACGACAAAACCGATTTCCACCTTATAAAATGCAGCTCGATTTGTCCTTATGTCACTTAAAGAGCATTAGGAAAGCGTCATTGTCATTGATTTTATAACTGAGTTCGAAGAGTGAGTGCACAAGCGAATGTTGGACGAAAGGATGAATTTTTTTCTCAAACGAAAATTACAATTTGCAGAAAAGGGGTCACATTCTTCTTTATTAGGGTGGTTTAAGCCTTGTACCCATATTGCTAAAAGTGCCTTAATTTCTGAAACCTACAAGGAGCCCTCTCCATGACACGCGTATTAACAGAAATTTGAGTCAAAAATAAATCAAGAATGCCGAACCAAAAAGAGTTGAAAATCATAATTATCAGTCATCTTGACACCACGAACTTTTCTTAACAAGAAGATTAAGCAGTAAAATCATAGAAAATAGATTTTTTTTTCATATTCTAGCATTTTTAGAGAAAAAAAATCACGAACTGAGTCTTTTTTTCAATCAGCTTATATCCGTGACATGCCAACACGGATACTTGCTTCGAGGACTTTTTATGATGAGCGTGGTTTTCTCTTATAAAGCTATGTTGAATTGACGTTGAAAGCACAAATACTCAAGACTTTTGGGGCAAGTCTAACGGACTAACTCTAATACTTTTCAATAATCTTCGATTGTCTTGCAAGTAAAATTGAAGAGTTGCGTCCAAGCTTTCCGTTCAAGTTTTTTGGAAACAAAAATCCGCTAGCACCACTTTCATATGCCTTACCAAAAATGTACCTCTTTTTCATATTCATATGAGAAGTAGCAATGCTCAATCCCGTACCTCTAAAGCGATCTCGTGTGTTTTTGCGCTATCCATCAAACTTAAACAGAACTCAGGTAAATTTTATCCGCCGCAGAGGGCTGCTGTACCTGACCACTTCAACAGAATCAAGTAAACTTGAAGAGCTTAAACATCATAAATTTGGTGGCAGTGAAAAATGAGTCTACCGCTAGGATCGATTCCACGTGGGCTTGATTACAATAGATAGCTGACAACGAAATAATAAGTACAATCCTACAATCCAAAATGTCACGTGGCAGAAATTTATTGTATTTACGATAAAACTGATGGTAATTCGTGGCTAGCATTGAATAAAAAGAGTTTGTCAGTGATATATCTGATTTGGATGTATGCCTGGAATTTGGAAGTTATGCAACGCCATTTTTCTTCAAAATCTTATCCAATACTTTCTTTCTGATACTCCTTATTGCGCTGGAAGTTCTAGAAAATTTAGCGAATCTTTTATAGCAATTTAACGCTGGTTATTTCCAATATTAGTTACTTCGATGCTACCACCCTAAGAGTTTCCTAGATTAGCATATATCCGATAAAAAGTATAACTAGGATAAAGCAAATAAAATAGAGATCTCAGCCTCCGAAGAATCGACTCTACTAATTGTAAGAACGAAAAATGCGCTGCCACTGACTGATTGCCGGGTAAGGGAATGGGCGGAGCAGTGTCCACTAAGCCGCGAAACGGCCAGCGCCGAGTTCTTCGCAACTTTGGCGATCGGCATGGCAAGGCCGAGACAAATCGATGCTTTGATCTTTGACCCGGGGACCCGTGCATGGTTTTTCGCGGGGGGCTAGGTTTCTCTCGAAAAAACCGTGATGAGTAGAGGTCTCTCATCCTCGGCGGGGCGGGGTTTCACTGCCACCACCCGCTCTCCAGCAGTCGGCCGTTGCCACGTGCCAAGGGCGATTCCACTTCATTGGCACTATCGGACCTGGAGATGCTCGGCTTTAGGGACCCAAATCAACTGGTCTCTTGCTATGGCA